ATGGATTATAATAACAACATTATTATTACATCATGAAAATAAGACTGCCTTTCTTTGCAAAAGTGTATTTCTGACTCGCTACCCATTAACTTCTTTAGAACAATGTATTTACCAACAGAACTAACCAGCTAAAGACAAATTATTTAAAATTTTTATGAATAAATTTAAAAATACTAGTGCTATTTGTTACCTTTTACCTAATCAGAAATATAATTTTGAACACATGACTTCTTTTGGGAAAGAAGACTTCATAAAAAGTTGATACTATCTTAAAACTTGATATTTGGAGCAGTCTAACTTACATGATGGCGATACTCATTACTCTTGTTACTCACGAGACTATTGAGAAGATTCAGTGGTCCCTCCATACCTAACAATGGCTTTTTTACATTCTATTCTTTCAGCATCTATCCAAAATTTCAATATGTATCAACTTTTCTAACTAAAGCATTTTAATCCATTCGGTCAGTTGTTTAAGTTTAAAAAAAAAAGTCTTTGAGCATCTTAACCTTTGCATCATTCAGGGATTTATCTAGCACTAAATTTTGTGTTGAGAGTTTTCAAGATTAGAAAAATGATTTTAAATAGGGAAAACTTAAAATTTTATATAGCTTGTTACTTCAGACATGAATATTTACAAAATGAATGCATGTAAGCCCACTTTTTTGTGACATGATTACTATATTTTATGTACTTTAAGATGTATTTTCTTCTAAAAAAATTGAAATTATATTTTTCTGGTCTCACAGAGGCATTAGCTTGAAACACCATCTAGTTTCAAACATTCGTTACACAGAACTGAAGGCCTTTTGTAATGTGGCTATAACCTACTTTCATGTTGTCTTTCTCCTTATTATTTTCATATATCCTTTTCTTCAGCCTCATGAAATATAGTATGTTTTTACCCCTTACTGTGTTGCTAATGTTTATTCCTTCTACCTTGTACCTGCTTTCTATCATCTCTTCTATAATGTCTACTAATATCCTCAGATGGAGCTTCTACTAAATTTTTCTCTATGTAACCTGTGTCTTTTATGTGTAATAGCCATTTTGTACATGTTATACCTTGTGTTATAGTTATTTCATACATGTAACTGTGTTTGATTTTTATATATTTCAAAACACCTCAATTTTCCCCAAGCAGCAAGTGTGTGTTATATAAAGTTATTTCTTGAGCATTTGTATGTGTCAATAGTGTTAACTACAGAATGCTGTGTATATTTCTATTGCCTCTAATACTAAGTATGACATCTGTATTAAGTCATGTATGCATTTTATTAGGAGTATCGGAACCAATGTCTTCCCCATAAATTCAATTTCATTAATGTATTAATGTATACACATTAATAGTATCACCGCAACTAACTGGAAGCATAGTACATTCAAATTTTATGTAAAATAGAATAACCACTCCCCCCAAATCCACTACAAAATACTTTGACAAAACTCTAAATAGCTATGACACCATCAAATTGTAAATAGAAGTTAAACCATGCAATTAATACAAAATCACTGACTTATGAGGTGCTATTGTAAGTGAGGTGATGTAGGTGAAATGAATAGTTCTTACTGGATGCAATAATTAGCTAACTCAAGCTTTCTGAGCCTACCATGTGTTGCTGATACTTTATATGGGTTTGAATGAACAGATTTTAGAAATATAATTTGAATGATGGCTTAACCCACATAGGTTTTAATAAGATAATATAGATGATGATGATGATATAACTGAGTTTTGCATATTTTATCTATTCTTCATGGCACTTTGGTGACAGTTTTGTGGAATAAGTAAAGAAATTGATTTTGACCTAGCAAAATTCAGATTTTCTAAGAGAATCAATAAAAACTGATTATCACTGAGTTTTATTTTTATGGTCAAATGATCTTATAGGGTATTGGACTTAGAGACAGGAAGATATGGAGCTTTTCTTCTATGTCCTTTGACTTTTAACCTTTGGCAAGCCACCTATCAGTACTCTGACCAACTTTACCTAATAGACAGTAAAATTAGAATTTTCCTCACCACACCCACCCTCAGATAGATGGAATTTTATGTGTTTGGGGGGTGGTATTTCAGGTTTTCTCTGTACTCTTTTCTTTCCAGAGAGCAAACCTGAGAAAGTTCTGTGATGCCATAGAATGTATTTTGAAGCAGGGAAAAAGGGAAGAGTAATTGGTTGCTCTTTTAGTAATCTTGAATTTATTAAAATTTCTTTCTTTTTATGTTATCACAAACATTATCCTAAATCAAGTTTTAATTTCCTTTACTCTAATTTTAAAACTAATAAACCTTTGGACAGTAGTATTTACAGTTGATTCCATAATTGTTTTCCTTCTTAAATTAAGTTTTCTAAGTATATCTGACTTTAATAAAGAGAAATTTTTTAAGTGTGTGAGAAAAGTAATTGGTTGCTCTTTTAGTAATCTTGAATTTA